CGCCAATTTCATCAAATCCGCCGCCTTATCGTCCGGAAAATCATCGAAAACCATCACTTTTCCCCCGTAGAAAATAGTCAAAGGCCCGTTTAGGCCCGAAACGCCACCAACGTTCTCCGTATCGGTTTCAGTTTTGGCTTCGGCCGACGCATCAATTCCCGGCAACAAATTCAGAGTCGTAGGCGGCCTATGTACTGCTAAAATTTCAAAAAACAAAAAAAAAACCCATTATAATCAACAAAATAAAATATCTAAAAAAAAGATCACAAAGTTTGAAACTTTGGAGTAAAAACCTCACCTTTGGTCGGTTCTTGAGGCCCCGGAGCCATTTCCAGAACTCCAAGATCAGCAAAGCTGCGGTTTTTCTTAATGTACTCGCTCAAGCGGCTGCATGTAACAGAGAAACTAGACCTCTTTGATTCAACCATTGCTTAATCTCACCGGCGGAGCACCAGATTCAATCTCTTGTCTTGGCTTTGGGTTCCTCTTCGAGTTTGCTTTGCCCTCTGGTTTCGGGCTCTTTCTCTTTATATTCTCTTGTTCAAGGAAAGCAACAACAATAAACTATGAAGGAAAAAAAAATTATTTCAAGCACGTGTTTCATTAGTAGGGAGGAAAAAAGCACGTGGGTTTTATAGGAGAGGGAAAGAAGGCTACGGACCGAGTCCTTTTTTGTAAAAATGGACAGCGCAAGCGGACGGATAGAGAGAAAAGTCTGATTGAATAAAATAGAAGCAACTTGAGGCAAAAATCATATATCCCATTCTTTGGTATATGAATATGGAAACGAGTGGTGGTGTTGCGTAGACTCAGTCCTAATTTGTTCACATTGTAAAGTTTTTTTTATTTTTAAAGATAGGCTTTCTTCGAATGTGGGCTGAATATACCTATTATGAAATGGGCTGGTAAGGTTTTAAATGATAATATTAATTAATTTTGGATGGAGGTATAGAGGGAAAACCATCTAGTTCTGCTAAAATTAACAGAAGATCACTCTCATAAATAACGCCACCTAACAAGAGGGAGTAATTTACAGGAAAATTAAAGATTTGAGGGGCTAATAAGCAAATGTTGAGATTTGAGTAATTATTTAGCAATTAAGGATGGTTTAGGGGACTAATATGCAATTTACCCAATTCGACATTAACCAAGAAAGTAAATTCTCGTGGTAAAGAGTAAAATTTAAGAACCGTAACTGTTGGTATGAGCGCCAACAAAGTAAAATCTCCATTATCATAGATAGACGCGTAAAATTTAATAGTACTTTTTTTTATAACCTAAAAATTATTATTCTAATCATCTACGCGCAACAACTTAACGTCGTCAATTGCATTAATAACACGAAACCAAACCTTTGGAAGCATTTGAAGCCTACTCTCACCTGATTTGTGACCGACAAGATTTGTGTTCCCTTAACGTAATACTACAAGTCAATAATTAGTCATAAAATCCTAATAAAATAAAATATATCATAGAAAACGAATTTCATAAGTAATAGTCATAAAATCCTAATAAAATAAAATATATCATAGAAAACAAACTTCATAGGTAATTCCGTAATTGTGGCAGGAAACACGGGGAAAGAATTTGTGATGTACGCGTCTATTTGTTGATTAATTATGTCACGCGGTCGTAAAAAGGACAAGGAAATGTTCACACGGAACCTATATTTCTCTCTAAGATTAGCACGTGAAAGTTGCAAAGATTAGAAAAAGAGGAAAAAGAAAAGAAAATGACATTAAGTCGGCAGGCATCGCTTTGGTCAGATCACATATTTTGAATTCAATACGATCTCCTTCTGCTGCCGAAGCTTGTAGGCTTAGGGGCTGTTTGGTTCAATAGAGGGTAGGAATAGGATTAGGAATCCTATTTTATTTATGGACTCCAACCTAATCCCAAAAAAATTTATAGACAAGTTTTAGTTTTATGGAATCCCATTTTTTTGGCATTCTATGTTTGTTTCACCCAAAGGATTAGGAATCTCACTTTTAGTTTTATGGAATCCCATTTTTTTGGCATTCTATGTTTGTTTCACCCAAAGGATTAGGAATCTCACTTTTATAGAATTGGTCCACCCAAAGGATTAGGAATCTCACTTTTATAGAATTGGTCCAATTCCTAATATCATGTTTGGTTCAGAAACGAATTTTTTTGGGGTCAATACTGTAACAACGGAATGATAAATCAACTTTGGGATTCAAATGAAAACATTGTAGCAACGGCTATATCCACAAGCAAGTAACCACAGGCAAGGAAAAACAAAACAGCTCCCACCAAAATATTACATAGCTACACAAGCTCAAAAACAAAACAACAACAACCCAGACCCATAGGAATAAATTCCTACTTAGAACCAACAAGAAGCAAGTTTTCTTGTTGTATTTGTATCTTCTTCAATTCAATTCCACATAAGATAAAACACATCAAACACATCATGCTTCAAACTTGAATGAAAACAAACTCCAAGCACAAAATAAAATTCAGTTAGTTTTCTACAAATTATCTCTTGTTTCATAACCAAAATCAAAATCAAAATCAAATGAAGCAACAAAGTTTAAGAAAAATATACCTGCTTAGCAACAAACTCAGGGTAGAAGCAACAAAGTTTAAGAAAAATATACCTGCTTAGCAACAAACTCAGGGTAATTGTCCTGCAGCAGAGTGAGTGCTTTCTTAGTAGCAATCCTGAGCTCCTTCTTCCCCGGTTTGGGGGTATTCTTAAGATCGGTAACCTGCACCATTGAACAAACAGCACCAGGGCATCTCTAATCCCCTTCTCCAAGAACTGAATCCTCCACCTCAAAAGCAGCAACAGTTTCAATACGTAAAGAAATCAGTCTAACAAAGCACATTATTTACTTCCTCCACCTCAAAAGCAGCAACAGTTTCAATACGTAAAGAAATCAGTCTAACAAAGCACATTATTTACTCCTTCTTGAAAGGGAAAAAAAATAAGCAGAAGCAACCAAATTTATCAAATTTTCTACTAAATAAGGAAAAATAAAATAAAATACCTTCATTAGTCTTCGCTTCGAAGGTTCGTGGATCGTCCATGGCCTCTCCTCCTCCTTCGTCTTCCCTTCGTTGAGTGGGAAATTAGGGTTAGGTTTTAACTCAGGGGGTTTTTGATGGGTTCAGAGATCGAAGGTTCGTGGGTTTGGCTTGTAACTGCTGAGAGTGGGAGAATCGCGAAGTTTCTGCTCGCGACCTCGGTGCTGGGAGTGGATTCGCCCGGCTTGGGTTGGGTCTCTTCGGCCATGGCCTCAGACAAAGGGGGCGGGAGAAGAACAGCGGGGAAACCACTGAAATCCAGATCTAAGGTTGCGAAGATTAAGAATCAGAATAAGAAAAGAGGAGCGGTGTCAGCTTTTTGCCCAATTCCTCTCAAACGGAGAGGATTTGGGATTCTATAAATATGCACTGTTTTGACCCCTTTATGGATTAGCAAATCTGTAAAATTTTTCTGAACCAAACTTAAGATTAGGATTCACTTAGAATCCTTTAATTACGAAAATGCCACTGTCAGACTCCAAATACTAATCCTATTCTATAAATTGGTGAAACAAACAGCCCCTTAAAGTCTCTATGTATTTCCATGAATATAATTTCCTAATGTGCATATATATATATATAAGAAAAATGGATATGTTTGGTATCAAGCATAAATTTTATGCTTGGTAGTGAGGTGTCTTATTTTCATCAACTCATTTTAATTCCCAACCACTCTCCAACCCATATGAATGTGAGCATAGATTTTAATGAGTGGAGGGGAATGTAATGCACCGCTACTGACGCAGCATATCTCCCTCCGGCTCCCTGCGAGCTCCTCCTCTCTCGTCTCTCCTCTGCTCGCGAGTGTTTGAGTAATGCAACGTTTCTCCACCTGCCACTCCGGAGGTCCTCTCTTGGATACGAGTTCTCAGGAAGACCTCATGGGAAGATCTCTCTGCTCTCTGCGTATATATATATATATTATATATATATATATATATATATATATATATATATATACTATATATATATATATATATATATATAATATATATATATATATATATAATATATATATATATAGTCATGGGAAATTGTTTCCTAAAATGACGAGCTTAGAATATCATCTAAGGACGCAACCTAAAAGCACATGATTGAGCTATATTGTGTATGAATTGCCGCTCGCCGTTGAACTGTTGATGGCTACATATTACTAACCGCAACACACGCAAGTTGTGGGGTAACCGCATCGTCGTTTGACCTCGCTCGACATTGAGCATTTGAAAAGTTCTATTCATTCGAAACCGGTTAAAATTGACTACGAGTGGATGAAGGGTGCAACCGACGACGGGTTCACCCCAAAGCGTGGTGTGTTGGGAATGTTAGAATATGTAGATCAAAGTTCAACAGAGGCGGGATCTCGCACAATGATAGGCTCAATCATGTGCTTTTAGGCCGCGTTCTTAGATGATTATTTAAGGCGTAGCCTATGGAACACTTCTCCATATATATAATATATATATATATATATATATATATATATATTATATATATATATATATATATATATATATATTATATATATATATATAATATATATATAGTATATATATATATATTAAATATATATATATATATATATATATATATATATATATATATATATAGAGAGAGAGAGAGAGAGAGAGAGAGAGAGAGAGAGAGAGAAATGGGTATGCTTGGTATCAAGCACAAATGAATTGTGCTTGGTAGTGAGGTGTCATATTCTCCTCCACTCATTCAAATGGTTGCATATCCTCATGCACTTCTCAACCCATGTGAATGTGGTCTCCCATTTAAATGAGTGGAGGGGATTATGTTACCTCACTATCAAGTACAAAATTTGTGTTTGGTATCAAACATACCAATTTCTCTCTCTCTATATATATACACATACACATGTGTGTGTGAGTGAGAGAGAGAGAGAGAGAGAGAGAGAGAAAGAGAGAGAGAGAGAGAGAGAGAGAGAGAGAGAGAGATCATATCAGTACAAAACAATTTCACAATGATTTCTATACTGTATAAACCGAAAGTTCCAATTTCTCAGTTCGTGAAGTTTTTTCAGCTTTAATAAGAGTATAATTCTAAAACTTGTGTACGTATGTATGTGTGATTTACACCGATACGAACCAATTTCACAATGATGTCTATGTAGACTAGCCATCATTTATGTATATATCCAAAGTTTTGCCCCTCCAATCTTGATGTTCTTTCTCTCTTTATTAAACTTTTTTCAGGGGGTGTTTGGTTGGGGAAAAAGAAAAAAGGAAAATAAGACTTCAAGAAACCTATTTTCATGTTGTTGTTGGGGATTCGAAATAATCAAATCAAATCTGTACCTTTTCGAATCTTGTGTTTGAGAGTTGAGCAAGAAAGAAATTCACCATAAATAAAAAGGTAAAAACTTGTAGGAAAGTAAACAAGAAAGAACACACCAGATTTAACGAGGTTCGGCAACGTGCCTACGTCCTCAGGAGCCACACCACACAATTCTTTGATTAC